CCGGGCCGGGGGGGCGGTTCCCCGGCAAGCCCCACCCCGGGGGCGGGAGGGCGAGGGAACCAGCGAGGTCTTTGCGCGCTGCGCTCCTTGCCCGAGGGCGCCGTGGAGGGCGGGCTCCCTGACCCGGAGAAGCGGCCCAGGCACACAGCCCAGGGGGTCCTCCTGCAGTCCCATACACACACGCACTCACACACACACATGCACACAGCCCAGGGGGTCCTCCTGCAGTCACACACACACACACAGATGCACACAGCCCAGGGGGTCCTCCTGCAGTCACACACACACACACACACACACACAGAGCCCAGGGCGTCCTCCTGCAGTCACACACACACACCCCTTCTCCCCATCAAGGCTGCAGCCGGGATCGCTGGGCACCCACCCTCCAACAGCGGGGATGCTCAGAAGCAAAGAGAGGCGATGCCTTCCTAGACCTCTCCAAAAAACACAAACCATCCCATAATATATTTCCGCTTTCGGGGATTAAGCACCAGTCCATCAGGACTGGGACCCCGATGAGGAACTTAAAAGGGGCCGCCGATTGTGGCATCTGGGTATGTTTTTGTTAGGACCGCACGGCCGGCTGCCCTTTACTCCAAAGTGGCATTTACCCAAGGGGTCTGCGCCCTTCCTGGCATTGGGGCTCCTGCTGGCCCCTGGTCCCCAGATTTCTCATCCCCTTGCCCGCTGGGGGGGAGGAAGTCATCCTCTGCACCCCTTCATCCCGAAGAGCCGGCTTCCCTCACCATCGGAGATGCCCTGGTCAGGGGGCGAAGCTGACATCTCCCCCTCCCCATATCCCCGTCCGCTTCTGCCGAAGGAGGAGGTGGAAGGGAAGCCAGGGGTAACGCTGGGCCTCCGGGTTGGAGCCAAGCGATGNTGAAGGAGGAGGTGGCAGGGAAGCCAGGGGTAATGCTGGGCCTCCTGCGGGTTGGAGCCAAGCGATGGGCAAAAAAAAAAAAAAGGTCCCCTTTGCTGAGAAAGGAGCAAAATTGGTGCGTGTTTCCCCCGCCCTGCCCGGGAGCCCAGAGACACCTGGAGGTAACCCCAGCTTTTGCTTGGCAGGACCCCCAAGTGGTTAAAATAGAAGCGTGGGGGACGGATCATCTATCTATCAGATGGGGGGGGGATGTGCATGCTAAGGCCAAAGCCCCTATAGTCCTTGTTTTCAACTTTAAATGTTATCTCAATGATGTAAGTTGCCTTGGGGGCCTTTTAAGGAGGAAGGCATGGCAAAAATATTTCAAATAAATAAAATAATGTATTGCCTCTGGTGCCACCTTGGCTTTAGCTCTGCCCACTTTTGGTTTTTGGCTCCACCTACCACCTGCTTTAGCCCCACCCTTGTTTGGCCATGGCTCCACCTACCGTGGGCTCTAGCTCCCACCCACTTTTGGCTCTGGCTCCGCCTCCTGCCTTGTTTCTTCCTTGGCCAAGGTGCGGCTCACCTGAAAGGATCCTTCTCTCACCTTGCTTAGGGCCTGTTCTCCTGACCTTCTCCCAGAGACCCCCCCTCTGCTGCGGTGAGGCACCGAGCCCACCGTCCCAGTTGTGTCACCCTTCTGCTCCTCTCCCACCCTCATCCCCATTGTCTTGAAAAAGACGTTTTATGTATCATTACTTAAAAAAGAAAACCAACTTTCCTTTCCCTTGAATGTGTTTCTTCTTTTGAAGCCATCTTCTCCAGGTGCTGCACTGCCATCCAGGTATTCTTTGCGCGCCAGTTACCTAGCTGCTTCTTCACAAGATTATTATTCGAAAGTACCAACCACAGTCCATCAGAATAATAAAAACATTGGCTGGTATTACATGACACATACAAGCAATCAAAAACCTAAGTCTCTATTAAATATCAACATACTGTATATATAAAACAAGTGAGATCTTTCGATTGCCAGGTCTCAGTTAGTTTCTCCAATTCTTTATTTTCAACTCTGGCATCTCCTGGAATTACAACATCAATCATCCAGACATTTCTTGGTTCTATTACTATGTCTGGTGTGTTACCCTGTTTTCCCAAAAATAAGACCTAACTTGAAAATAAGCCCTAGAATGATTTTTCAGGATGCTCGTCATACCCCAAAAATGAATAATGTGGGTCCCCATAGAATAAATGAAACCCCGCCCTTGTGCAGCAACCAGAAGAAGAGGACATGTCTGTATTTGAATCCATGTAGATGGTTGTACATGAAAAAAAATATCCTCTGAAAATAAGCCCTAATGTGTTTTTGTAGCGAAAATTAATATAAGACCCTGTCTTATTTTCGTGGAAACACGGTATGTTCAAGATGTCTAAAAGTTTGGATCCGGAAATCCCACAAGATCTTAACTTCCTCATTTGTTGACAACTTCTCTACCTGATGTTCCCATGGGTTCTTGCAGGCTGGCAAGTTATATACTGTATTTTTCTGTGTATAAGACACCCCCATTTTTCTAATCCAAAATTAAGAAATCTAAGTGGGGCTTAGCAAGTGTAGGGGAAAAGGGATCAAAGTGCTGCAGGATCGCTTTGATCCTTGCTATCCCCTCCACTTGTTTTTGTTCTCTCCTCAGCTTACTTCCGTGTATAAGATTTTTAGTCTAAAGATTTTAAACAAAAGTATAGTCTCATACATGGAAAAATACGGTACAGTGGTGCCTCACTTAGCAATGTTAATCCGTGCCGGAAAAAACATCGCTAAATGATTTAATCGCTAAGCGATTTTAAAAAAGCCCATAGGAACGTATTAAAATGTGTTTAATACATTCCTATGGGCTTAAAACTTGGCTTAAAGCAAAATTCCTCCATAGCGGTGGCCATTTTGTTTTTGTGGGGGCCATTTTGGAACCGCCAATCAGCTGTTTAAAAAAGTTCGCTTTGCCATGATCGCCACCCCGCGATCATCGCAAAGCGAATTTTAGCCATAGAGGACATCGCTAAGCGATCGCTCCAGCGATGGCCAAAAGTCTATCGCAAAGCGATTTCATCGCTCAACGGAGCGATCGCTAAGTGAGGCACCACTGTATATTTTTTGGCATATTATTATTAGGAACCACACTGTTAAAAGAAAACACACTTCAAATGGGGAAATTTTCTTCTTTTTAATTTACAGCAGAAAGAATATAAAGCATTCAGAAAACATTTTCCATATTTTAAGGGCAATTCAAAACGTTTTGCATGGTTCCAGCAGCTGAGTTCTTCAACAGACCCATTGATTCAGTGATGCTTTTAACATGCACAGTTACAAAAATAAAACTTACAAAAAGAGACATCTATACTAGGTTTACATGCAAGTCTCGGGGGACCCCCCTCCCCTCTGTTTGGGCACCGACTACTGTGTGGAACGGCCATGAAGCGTGCAACCATCGAGGGGGTTCATGTTATATCCTTTATTTCGCTCACACAGGTTCATTCCTTTCACACACGTGATGTCACACAAAGGAGCAATTCTGGCTTTTAGGGGAGACAGGATCCTGATCCTCGGGTTGTAGGGACCTCGCTTGTCCCAGAAGGAGGCCAACCCCCCCCCCGAGGGATCTTCCTTCTGTCGGACATCATGTCCAACAACCCCGGAAAAGGCAAACAAATTAATTTGGGTACTGTTGTGGGAGAATTTTTAAATGCAATGCGCCGGAGAGCGTTGCTTGTGCCGAAAGGTGGCAGGGCCTTGCTTTTTTTTTCATTGTTATTAATTTAATTTTTTTTGGCACATGTCAGACTCGGGGAAAAGCACACAGGGGTGTCCACTGAGATCTCTCTGGGAGCCCCCTCCAGAACAGGGAACGGTCAGCAGCCCTGCCAGCTTGAGGGGGCCTTCCAACGCCGTGGGGCTAGGTCCTGCACAGCACCATGAGGGTCCGACTGCCCATCCATCCAGGGGCCACCGAGCCTGCGTGGGTCGGGAAAGATTTAAGGGTGGGAAGCAAGCACCCCGAGGAGGGAGAGCAGAGGCGCTCTGGGACCCCTTAGGACAAAACGGACATGCCGGCTCGTCAAAAATGGTCACTGAGGTCATTACTCTTGTTGGGGGGGGGGAAGCCACCTCAAGCCTCACCTAAGATGAAATGCTGGAATCCTTGAAGACGGAGGGGGTCAAAAGGAAAGCCACCCACACACCCACCCCTTTCTGGTTGCATGGCTGCGTTGGCCCCATGGGTCAAGGGCCTCCTTCTGTAAGGTTGCCCACGCCTGGCCCTTGGGAAGCCAACCTCACTCCGCAATCTCGCAGGTTGAGTGGGGGGGGGTTCACGCAGGCGGATCGGGGCTTGGCATCGCTCCTGTTCACCGGACGGGGCCCCGGGGGGGGGGGGCGGCAGCCGTGGACGAAAGGGACAGAGACTTGAGCGCAGGAGCTTCCATGCACACACGCACACACGCACACACGGTTAGGAATCTGAATTATTATTATTTTTTTTCCCCAGTCCTGGCAGTGAGAGGAAGTCATTAAAAAGAGAAAGAGAGCGAGCGAGCGTTAGAATGAGAGAAAAGGCACCACAAGAGCATTGACCACCACCCCTCCAGCTCCATTTATTTTTATTTTTGCCACAATCTTTTTGCGGGTTTCGAACTTCTTCTAAAGACGCCGTTTTTTTTAAAAAAAAAAAGCTTGCACAGAATTTGTGAGTATTTTTAGGCTTCACAACAAGCCTCTCCTCGAGAACGAGACTCAACGTTTTCTCCCTGGCCCCTGGGTTCAAAGCAAGACCAACTTCTGTTCCGTAAACCATAAAGGACTAGAAAGCTCAGGCTGGTCCATGCACGGCAGGAGGAGGAGGAGGAGGAGGAGAGGAAGGTGCAGAGGATGGACAGACGGAGGGGGTGGCCGGCTAGGGCTCGGCCACCCCAAGCAGAAGCCACCCATCCACACCTGGATCTGGCCACAGGCCCTCCCTTCTTCCTCCTCCTCCTCCTTCTCCTGTGGCTTACCTTTCACATAATCAAAAGGACTAATTGAAAACAGATTTCTTTGGCTCCTTTCTATGTGGAAATAGCAATATACCATGACACCCCTACAAAACCTGCTTGCATCTTTTTACATTTTTTTACTTTTTAAAAATTTTTTGTGCAATTTTTTCCCCCCTCGTACATTGTCTTGACTTCCAGCAGGAAATATGGACGTGTGAAACAGGTTTTTTTTTCTACTTTCATACTATTTCTTTTTTATTTTTATTTTTTTTTAATTTTAATTTTTTTTTCATTTATGTTCATTCTAAGTGTTCTTTATTGGAGTGAGTGTATGGTGTTAAGCTAGATACAATTTTGTATTCTTAATGATTATCTGCTTTGCAAAATAACTTAATTTTTTTTTCTTAAGCAATATTAGCATTCACTTTACTTGGCACCATTGGCAAAAAAAGAGGAGAAATAATATATAAAAAAACTAAACAGATAATCAAGAAGGTTAAAAGAAATTTAAATAAATTCCTGGTAGCCAAAATCAAATGTAAACATATCTCTTTTTTAAAAAGTAATGTTACTTTGCCTTTTTTTCCTAAGTCTAAATACATTAGCTCTTTTGCTTCTGCAGTTTAGTCATGCTTTAGCAAAATGTTCTTCTAAAGAACATTTAAAATAAAGTTTCTTATAGTGAAATAAAGTTTTTGTTTCATTTTACAGACCATAAGCCACTAATGCTTTGCTTTTTCATTTCTTTTTTTTCCTTGAATTCATGCACATCTGTTTTTTTTTTAAATATATACAATATGTACAAACATCCACACGCTTCTGGTTCATTCAGACAAAACTATACAAATACGCAAATTTCTCTTGCCAAGTTATTGACCCTTTGTGAATAAAATATTTAGCAATTAATCAATATATTCCCTTTCAAATATTTCTCATTTCCATTTCTACCTTCTCTCTATATACAGAAACTGCCTACATTTTATATATTATTTTTATTTTTGAGATGAAATAGCCAAAACAAGAAATTTACTGGCTGGAACACAGCACCGATAAGTGCTCCCCTTCAAAGGTCGAAAGGTCCAGTCAGCTTGTTTTGCACGTGACTCTTCGGTCGGTCGATCAAGAGGTTTGTACGTTTACCAAAATGCTTTACAAATCATTGTAATTAAATAAGTAAAAATCTTGCGTGAAGTAAGGCCAGAAAATAAAGTGCCAAATATGAGAAGTGCATATGGCAATTGATATACTTGAAGGCGAGAGAGAGAGAGAGAGAGAGAGAGAGGGAGAGAGGAAGGGGAAAAAACCACGACATTGAAAATAGGAACTTTTTGCTGGAGTTACTTGGCCAATTCTCTCTCGGACCCCCCCCTCCCCCCACATTCCACTCTCATGGAAATACCCGTTTGCCTTAAAAACACTGACAGCTCTCTGGAAAAAAATTCCCACCGTAGATGCACCGAAAACCAGCAGGTCTAAAAAAGTTGCATTAAAGTGAGTTTGCAGGGAGCGATTCTGATGAAGAACTGAAAGACGGACGTGCAATAGACACGGAGGAGGAATGGATGCCAGCAAGGCGGAAGGCGGGCAGAGCCTTTCCGAGGAGGATCCCGACATTGCCAGGTCTTGGAGATGATTGACAGGTGCAAGAATAGCATTCTTAGATTGTGGGGGTTTTTGCTTCTGCGTCGTCTTCTTTTTTTTTTGGTATAGTATTTGCCCAGTTCCACACATTGTTTTTTGTTTTGTTTTAATGCAGCCCTATATGAAAAGGTTAATTAATTGCTTCTCCTCTTTCTTTCTTTCTTTCTTTCTTTCTTTCTTTCTTTCTTTTTCTTTCTTTTTCAGAGCAACGAAGCAACTCGTGAATAATCCTTCCAGGTGTCACGTAACCCTAACCCACCCCATGATCCAACCAAAGAGTTAAGTTTCCAAGATGTCTTGCTGAACAAATTAAAAATTGTCCATGAAAGTGCAAATGTAATGAGCAAACATTACTGTTAAAATCCTGCCTCCGATATTCTCGGCACTGCAGTCAGTCTTTTTTTTTAAATTTTTTAAATAACTAAATCATTTTTTTAAATTTTTTTTTTTTGTAATTGTTGTTGCATGTTTCTGCTAAAAACAGAAAAATGAAAACAGTCTGAAAAGCAACGTCACATTGCTAAGGGATGCTGTTGCCTCCGTGGCCACCCTCTCTTGCTTCAAGTTCCTTGGCCTTTTTCAATTCTTTCACTCTGAAAAGACAGAAAGGAGAAAAAAAAAGGGGTGTGAGAGAGCACAGCCGCCCAACGCTTGGATGGGTGAGTGGAAATGGTATTAAACAACCATCTTTTCATTTGGCAGAATAATAAAAAACCTAATCCAGTCCCATTTTCCTCTGGTAATTTCAGCAACAGCTTTAAACTCCCATCAAAGTAAACTCTGAAAGGGCACAGCCACATCCGAAGTAATTTCTAATCCAATCCAAAAATCCCAACCTTGCTACAAGGAATGGAACTTGAGATCACCACCACCATGAGAACTATTGAGCCCTGAGTCTGAGACCATCTCTCCAGGCAGACTTGGAACCCATGTCTAACATCTGGGGTTTTGGGGTTCTTATCTCCAGTTTTTCTGCACTCTCCATGAGGTGGTGCTGCTTAGCTTGAAGAAGTGAAAAAATCCTCCAAGAAAGCATGCTAGATAGAGATGGGCATGAACTGGTTGGTCTTGGTTCGTCCCAGTTCATCAAGCCAGTCCAGCCCCTCATCAGGCCCAGCTTGTGCTAGAAATGGGCATGAACTGGTTCGTCTTGGTTTGTCCCAGTTCATTAAGCCAGTCCAGCCCCTCATCAGGCCCAGCTTGTGCTAGAAATGGGCATGAACTGGTTCGTCTTGGTTTGTCCCAGTTCATTAAGCCAGTCCAGCCCCTCATCAGGCCCAGCTTGTGCTAGAGATGGGCATGAACTGGTTCGTCTTGGTTCGTCCCAGTTCATTAAGAGCCCAGAATTTTCTGCATACCTTGTTCTTTTGTCCGAGCCGGAGAGAAAGCCCGAGCTGTTGCTGGAACTGGAAGATCAGTTGAGGAGGTGCTACTCCGTTGGGCCTGGTGAGGGGCCTTGCTTGCTTTTTCCATCTCCTTGGCTAATCTCCCAGTCATGAGCAAGAGCCCAGAGTTCTCTGCATACCTTGTTCTTTTGTCTGAGCCGGAGATCAGCCAAGAGGGTGGGGCAGAGAAAGCCCGAGCTGTTGCTGGAACTGGAAGATCAGTTGAGGAGGTGCTACTCCGTTGGGCCTGGTGAGGGGCAGATTGAGCCAGAGGAGGTGGAATAAAGTGCAACGAACTGGAATAAACTGCAACAAACCGGTTCGTGCCCATCTCTAAAGCATGCACTTCCTTGTAGTTTTTCTCCTTTCTTAGAAAAGGCCTCACTCATGTTTACAGTTGTGTAATCTTAAGACCCATGTGGCTTTTTCCTTGTTCTTTCTGCTTGGCCTTGGTTTCTTATTGCTTTGGCAACAGATTGTTCAACCCCATGTTATTGCAGGAGCAGCCATGCAGAAACCATGACTTCACACGGAGGTGCTTAAGTTGGACAGAGAATCTGGACCCCTGCAGGCATCTCTTCCCCTTCTCTTGACTGGAGGGCCAGGAAGTCTGAGGTTGCAGGTCAACCTATCAACCCGGCCTTCCACCAGACCACCACCACCACCATCACCACCCTTCTGTCGCCGTTGATTCATGCAGTTGCCCAGGGTGTGCCAGGAACCTTTCATGAGACCCAATGGAAGGCAATGTCAAGGATGAGTCAAGCAGCTGGGTTGCTGCTCTGGTTGGAAATGCAACATGCACAAGGCATTACAGAACCATCTGGCGACCCAACTGCCCATGGAGTGGAGACAAGCTGAATGAGCCAGGGCGGTCGTATGAAGGGACAATCTGGTGGACTACTCATCCTTCCACCTTCATGCAAATCGGGGGCCAGCCGTACTGTTCCGCAGAGCATGGCAACATGAGCCTCGGGGAACAGCCTGCCAACTGTTCTTCTGTAGCCGCTTGACCATCACCGGCCTGTCTATGCCACGCAACCCTCCTGTGCCCCCTTGAACTAGCATACTGCCCTCGAGTGTGACGGAGGAGGCCCTTCCCTCCTACTTGGAGCTGAAACAAGGTCTAATGCCTGGTCCAGCTGCACATAGTCCATAGAGAATCAGGTATGGCCTTACCCAGGACTTTGGGTAGCACGATGTGTCTTAGGGCAGTGGTCCTCAACCTTGGGCCTCCAGATGTTCCTGGACTTCAACTCCCAGAAATCCTAGCCAGCAGAGGTGGTGGTGAAGGCTTCTGGGAGTTGTAGTCCAAGAACATCTGGAGGCCCAAGGTTGGGCACCACTGTCTTAGGGGGACTCGCGATCCATACTGGACATGATATTGACCAGCAACACTTTGCATGACCAAGGCAAAGCCGCCTGTTCTCTTCCCTTCTCCCCTTAGAAACCTTAAAGAGTTTCTGTCTTCTACCCTGGACCAGCCAAACTCCCGAGAATCTTACCAAGCCTCTCAGGGTTAGAGGGAGCCTCCGCTATCTCATGGGGGCAAAGTGGGTTCGGAAACAGGAAAGGAGAAGTTTGTGGCAGTGGGAGGAGGAGAAATCAGTGCTTCCCCAAGGCAGAACCTACTTACGTCGCCCCTCTGTTTAGCCCTAGGCCAGCATGTAAAAGCCACTTCTGCTGGGTTGTTTTTTTGTGTTTTTTTCTTACAGCTGGGATGTGCACCCTTGGTCAAAGCAGGAGGGTCCTTTATGGGCGCATGCCAAGCCACACCACGTCTTGGCTCAGGGAGTAGGAGAAGAAGTCACCCCATGCTTCACCGTCACCTTCAGCGTTGGCCGTATGGCAAGCATGCATGCCGATTTTTGCAACAGTCCATGATGGAATGAAACACCGAAGCCACCCTCCCCATCAGGCACCCTTTCCTGGGTCTCTAGAATGTAACCACCAGAGCCACAGATGAGGGACATGTTTCCCTTAAACTTCAGGCCTGCTGTTTCATGCACAGCTGAAGGTGCTGAGGACCTTCGGCCCCATCCTGAGAGGGCCTTCTGAGGCTCAGGTGCAGAGAATTCTCAGGTGAGCTGTGCTGTGCCTTAAAGCACTGGCCCCCAACCTTGGGCCTCCAGATGTTCTTGGACTTCAACTCCCAGAAATCCTGGCCAGCAGAGGAGGTGGTGAAGGCTTCTGGGAGTTGTAGTCCAAGAACATCTGTGGGCCCAAGGTTGGGGACCAGTGGCTCGGCTGTCACATGCGGCGGCCAAGAGGATTCTGTGGAACGGGCCACCATAAATCCATCCATTAAGTTGCCGCCCTGTATCTCTTTAGCCCATCAGCTGAACCCTCAAATTCAGGGAACTCATTAAAAAAAAAGAAAAAGAAAAAGAAAGGAAGCCCCCACAGACCTGGAGACAAGCAAAACAAAGCTTGCTGTCTCTGTTTTGGTCAATATTTCTGCAAGACAACAGCCTTGAGGATGGGAAACCTCAAGAAACCGGTTCTTCTTTCTGTTTCTGGAACCTCTCATGGCTTTAAGATAGAAATCAGTGGCTGAAGTAGGATAGATTCAGGATTTCAAAAGAGAGAGTAAGGAAGGACCATACTTCATTCAGAAGGTCATTATGCTTCTCTGTCTCATTTTTACTGGTTCCTGATGACCCTAAAAGTGATACCTGCTGCATAGGTCTGATACTGATTTTTTGCTTCTTGGACATCATGGCGTCACCCCAATTTAGGAGCAAGACAGTTGTCTGTTGCCTTGACTCCGATTTTTGAGGGTTCTTGAAGGGTTAACTCCGTCAAGTGCCAGAGACTCAAATGAGGAAAACTGGAAAAAAAGTACTTGGAAGATTGGGGCCTTTTCGGATGCGCAGTAAGATCATGAAAGGACCTGACAGCAAACGGGGGAGACGCCCAAAATAAACCCAAATGAAAGCAAATGAAACGCTTTCTCACTGTACAGTCCTAAAAATCTTTCTCATTAGCCAAGGAATGAGTCCCTCTGTTGTTTATCAGGACCTCACCCAAATGTAAACGGAAGACTACTGAGTAAATATTGGTGGATCTGCCTAGTTTTCGAGGAACCCAAACAGATTCAGTCCCACAAACAGTGCCTAGACATCAGTGAAGCCATAGGAGTCAATGCGAGGGAAGAGATTACTGTACATGATTTCAACAATGCTAAGGAAATGATAGCACCCCTTTCTAAGAACTAATTCTACATACATTTTGTCTTGGTATAGCTCTTTGAAATGGTTACTCAGGTACATGTCCTGTTGGGTTAAATGGGCCATAGGTCTCCGTAAATATGCAAAGAGGATCAACTGAATCTCATGCCTCACCCAAAGCGGTAGAAACAGAAAAGGAGGTTGTGTTAGGGATGTGGGAGGCCAGGGGAGTTTTCTGTTGAGTAGAAGGAGAAGAAAAAAAATACAGAAGATGCCAAACTAGTTTGGTACTTGCTTTGATGGATGAGAAGATGTGATACAAAGATATGTGAGAACATGGTCTGGTCATCATAAAACATTCAGTCTCTATATGGCAGAAGGGAATCGCACAAAAATGTCCACACACACTCATTTTCTGAAGGGTGTCCTCACTTCCCTCTGTACTCTTTCCTGCAAACTAGATAACCGTGTGTCACTTATGGGGGGGGGGAATGTGTGTGGGGAGAGGGTTCCACCAGTGAAAACCAGCTTCAACAGAATGATGCTCCTCAGTCGAATTGCAGAGAAGGAAAAGATTCAGTCCCGGCCAACTCTGACCTCGTTGATTATCAGAACCCACCCGCTCCCAGATGGTGCCATCTGCATTTCACACAAGAGGAGACACACACGCTCTCTCACATACATGCACGTGAGGTGACTTTACATCTAGTTTGAACCTGGCCAGCGGCTGCCTGCAAGGGCCGCATCCAGAGGCCCCTGTGTGTTGCCAAAATGCATTCTCCCGCTAGCGAACAAACCCTAGAAAACGGACCACGTTTTCACGAAGTGCCTTTTCCCTCTCCCGATCTTCCTCTTTCCCGTCCTCATGCCCTCTAGGTCTGACCTGCGAGAGGAAAGCCTGTCCTTGGCGCTGGCTGTGTTCTAGACTCCGAGCCTCGTGTCCAGTTCGTACGGAAAGCCGGTCAAAACTCGGCTGCCTGCAGGAAGAGGCTCTCTGTGCAAGCGAAGAGTGCTCTCCTACTCCCAAGCCTGAATTTC